TAATAAATTTTCTTATTTTTAATTGCGGTTTACAGGCATCAGTTTGGCTTTTCTTTCCTCCCATTTCTCGGCTCCGTGACGGGTTTTCACCTGATTACTGTGCTTTAACGGGTTTTATTGGGGGAAAGCTGACAGAACACGACTATCAGGCTCCCAAGCTGCTGTAATAAGAGTTTTATGTGGGGGTCTCAGTGTCCGCTCATATGAATGCGTTTCAAATCAAATCACAGATGCACTTTTATTCACTCGGTTAAAACAGCAGAACAAAACAGTCTATAGAAATAAAGCCTTTTTTTTATTATTCTTTTTGAAGGCGACGGTGAGACGGAGAGAAAGCCTGTTGGTGTGTGTGTGTGGGGGGGGGGGGGGGGGGGGGGGGGGGGGGGGGGGGGTGTCTCCCTCGCAGCTGAGGGTGACAGTTAGTTCATGGTTAACAGGATCAGGAGTGCACGGTGCGGGCCGCACACTTCTCTGCGCTCCGAGCTGCGGGCTGCGCGCAAAGAAAGTGATATTTAACACATCTGTTAAAGCGGTTTGATAGCAGAAATCCCTTTAAGACGCGGTTCCATGACGAAGGCCAGATTGAGTGTTGAGAATCCCATGAAACCCTAAAAAACTCATTTACATGCGAGGTACTAAGAGGGTTTATAGCCTCTTTTATGTGACCGGTTTGTTTGCTTTAAAAATAGTGTTTTGGGTTAAATTCGTTTCTTGGGGTGTTTGCAATATTGAGCAACAGTTTGGTGTTTTTTTTAATCTGCATAACAACAGTAATGAGAAAAGGCTTTAAAAGTTTTACTGGGAGGCCTGAATAAGATTSCTCATTCATTAGGCTACTGCTTTCATTAAAGACAACCAAGTGAAAGAAAAGTGGTCAACATGCAAAACCGATGACCGAGTCCTCTTTGTGTTCTTTACATTGTCCGCTGCTCGCTTATGAAGTCTAATGCAATCAGAAATTGCGTCCTCCGACCAATCAGCGGCCCGCAGGATGCAGCGTGAAACCGACCCATGTGGAGAACTTTGTAGAGCTCCATTGTTGCCGGTGTGTGTGTGTGTGTGGNGAGTTAGGGGAGCTCGGGGGAAATCGTATGGTTGGTTTTTGGGTGGGGCACAAGCAAATAGGTGAAAAAAAAATAAAAGAAGATCACGGTGAACGTTTACGGTGGCGTTCGGCCTGACCGACGGGTCACTTTGGCGATGCCAGTGGACCCCTAAGCTACCGAGCCTACTGATTTCTGAACGTCACACGGTGCTAAGTTGCCCCGCTCTGGAAAAAATAAATGCTGACCTAAAAACACAGGCTTCTGGCAGTTCCCACAAGAGACCTGGTCTGGGATCTGGGCCTACTTTGTTGAGTTTTCAAGGCCTCCTAAATGTCAAACTTAGAAAAAGGCTGAGATCATGAGAACATGGAGGACTTTGCTCATTTGTTTTTTCTTAGTTTTCTGATCTGATTAAAGTCGTTACAATCATCACAGCTTCAATAAATATGTGGTAACTCTTGATTGATCACTTATAGACCCCTTTTTGCTCATTCACTTAAAGACAGACACTTCCTAACAGACCTACGCGTTCACCCACTTGTACAYGGACAAACACTCGGATGCAAACAGTTTGAATTATTTTACGCTGAAAGGGGGGGAAGAAACAGGGTGGCGGGGGTGGAGTGTAGTTAAGGTTAACACAGTTGATGGCCTGGTTTCTTTAACCCCCCTCACCCTTTAAAAACACAAAGGAAAAAAAAATAAATTAAAATCAAAAACAGAAAAGGATGAAGGATGTCAGGGATGGGGTTTGACTACTTCAGTAAACTATGACGACTGATCTCAAGCATTTTTGGACGGTCCAGCAAGAACCTAAAACTGTATTTTGGTGGAAGAAGGTGATGGAAGACAGGCAAAAGACAGTCAGGGGGCCAGAATGTGTTGAGGAAATTAGTACTGGATGTGCTAAAATAAATGAGAGAACAGATTCAGATCAGCAGGTTCAAGCATGCCTTCAAAATCAAGGACAGAACGATAAAAAATGTCAAATCTCAGCCGGCACTGTGACTGCTATCAGACCCATTCCTTAGGAAATGATGGAGAGTTTTAAAAAAAAGGGTTGATAAGCTCYTCTCTCTTAAAAATTAAAAACTAAAAGAAAATAAAAAAAGAGAGGAAGAAAACGTGCTTTGAATAAACAAATAAATAAATAAAATCAAACAGCAGACTGGTTAGTTTTCCTTTTTCCTAAAATTACGATCCCCAGTTTCCATATGTGGTCCCTGAACCTTTCTCTGGCAGCAGCGGAAATGTGCTGTTAGGGGCCGGGGGCAGCGACGGAACACCGAGGAGAGAGGAGCGCATCCAGGGGGGGAGGCCGAGCATCACCGGGGCATGGAGCCGGTCGCAGGAGGAGGAGGAGGAAGAGGAGGAGAACACGGAGGGATGGACGGAGCTTCCCGGAGCCTCGCGAGCTCTTCCTCCTGCATCCGAAACGATCCTGGACGGCTACATTAACGGCCAACCGGAGAACCGGGAGCGTGCGGAGACACGCAGCCACTTACTGTCACCACGTTAAATTGATCAGACATAATAAAAAAAACAGCGCAAAAAAACAAAATTTCGCTTTTTTTTTTTTAAAGAAATGCTGGCGTGGAGGGGAGTGTTTGTGCGCGCGCAAAAAATAAAAAAATAAAAAATAAAAAGATCAAAAAGGAAAGAATGTTCAAGTCGAGCAACACATCAATCCTCGGTTTCCTCGTTTTCCTTCCGCGTAGAGCTGAGATAGAAGCGGAGAAAAGAGAGGAGGAGGAGGAGGAGGAGGAGGAGGGGTGGTGGAAGCTAAGGATGAAAAAAAAACAGAGAGAGAGAGAGAGAGAGAGAGAGAGAGAGAGAGAGAGAGAGA